GGGGGGGGGGGAGGAAGGAGAGAAAGCAGGGCAATGTCAGGGAACATTTCAAACCATTAAACAATTTCATAGACAGAATTCTCTGACAATCGGGCGAGTGGTGCTCGAATGTCTGCCGGCTATGCCCATGGCTGGAACCAAGTTCTATGGAAGAGATCAGATTAATTCCCGGCTCCCTGGGTCAGTCACAGGGAAGGAAAGGGAAACCACTGAAGCTTATCTCAGTCTGACATTTTGGTGGGGCTCAGTCCACCTTTGTCAAGCTATGTGCCCAAAATGTCAAAATATGTGAAACCCTAACAACGTATTTGTCTGATTTTGGTCTGTTAAATATGAAATTGAAGTTTGAGGGTTTTTTATTGTCTATGTGATCAGTTCAAAAATATACATGTCAGCTGATAACTTCCTGCGCTGCACTGTTATCAGCTACATCAGACCACAGAACCACTCCCCGCTATACTATCAACAGTAAGAAAGAAGTGGAATTCCGTACAACTGCCTGGTCGGTTTTCCTGATGCAGAAGGGTGAAAGAGCCAGTTTTTTAGGTGGTGGTGGGGAAGCCTGGTGATGGTCCTCAGTAGGTTTCTACACCATCACCCTGTGGTTTGTTTTTTTTTAGGTACGTTTCTTTGGATTGGCTAAATTAAATTTGGTTAATTGTTTCCTAAGAATGGTTGGGAGTGCCTGCTGATACCAATAGACCAGGGGAAGGCAAATTCCGCCCCCCCCCAGCTGCCTTGCAGCTACAAATCCCATGAGGCATTGCAAGATGCTGACAACCACAGACGTGACTTCCAGAGACAGATGCAAGTAGAGCTGCAACAACTAATCGATTAAATCGATAATGAGAAGAGTTGGCAACTATTCTCATCATCGATTAGTTGGTTGAGGAAAGGGGGGGAGGGGAGAGAGAGAGATGTATATAAATCGGGCAACTAATCGGTTATGAAAATAATTGTTAGCTGCAGCACTAGATGCAAGGAGGAGTTTGTAGCTCCTCACCACAGCTGGAGGGCTGGAGTTTGTATACCCCTGCTCTAGTGTAATCATCATGACCACAATGGGGGGGGGGGGTAATTCAACATTATATGTATAGATATATATAGCCACGTTGTGGCTTAGTGGTTGGCACTCCTGCCTGGTACTGGCTTCCTTGGGATGGATCCCAACCAGAACAAGGAGTCTGCATGTTCTCCCTGTGCTTGTGTTGGTTTCCTCCGGGTACCCCGATTTCCTCCCATACTCCAGACATGCAGGAAGGTTAATTGGCTCCTGTCTACATTGGCCCTGTATGCATGTGTTAGGGACCTCAGATTGTAAGCTCCTTGAGGGCAGGGACTGATGTAGATGTGCACTGTGTAACGTGCTGCGTCAGTCCTTGGCTCTACATATGACTGGGGGGTGGGCACCCTGATAAAGGAGGTTACAGGTCATGTTCCCTATAAGCTCAAGTGACACACAGATACCTTATTAGTGGGGATGCACCAAAACTCTGTCCGCCGAAACAAATTGGCTGAAAATGCACTTTTGGCAAAATGCGAAAAGTGCCATCTTTCGGCTGAAATAGCGGTGCATGCCTGGTTTCTTTCCTCCCTGCTGGGCGCTACTCTGTGTCTCCTCTGATGCAGCAGGGGGGAGAGAAACTGTCACAGGAGGCCCAGCGGTGCGGGGCCGGGCTCTCCTCCCCCCGCACCGCTCAGCCTCCGGTGACAGATCAGGAGAGCGGCAGTGTGGGGGCGGAGACAACTGTCAGAGAAGGCCGGGCTGGCGGTGCAGGGGAGGAGTCAGCTGTCAGATCGAGCTCTCCTCCCCGCACCGCTGTGACAACAAGTCAGGAAGGAGAGCGAGTACAAGCAGTCAGTGATCGCTGAGTGTAAATAATTGGCATAATATGGTTACTGTATCCTCAATTATGAATGAATAGGAAGTGCTCTACATCACTTCCTGTTCATTTATGATTGGGGATATAGTAAACATACTCTGTTCTCATGTTATGAATGAACAGGAACACTGCGTATAGAGGATTCTTTTTATAACAGGGGCTGCAGAATAAGAGATTGAGGATTCTGTGTCTATGAGGACTCTGTGTCCTCAATCTCTTTTTCTATTTTAAAAGGGAAATATCAGGGGTCTGTTTTAGACCCCCAATATTTCCTCAAAGCCCCTAAAAGTAAAATATATATATATATTTAATACAAATAAAATGTAAAAGTTAATAAAAAATAAAATATTTTTTTTTTAAATTGAACAGGTAAGAATTTTTTTTTTTTTGTTTCTGACATTGTTTTTGGTTTAGTTTTTAGAAATGGAAATGTCATTTGGGTGCACCTCTACTTATCAGAACACTAAGAGCTGTGCTAATTATTGTGTTGTTGCTGGACTGCAGCCACTAAATCATCCCAATGCAAATTCTGTGACTAGGTTTCCATCTGCTGTACACCCCTCCCTGGAGGTAGTCGGTGTCCCCGCATTCTATGCCAACACAGGACACTGCAGCCCGAGGCCGGTGACCCCTCACTGGACAGACTTGTCTGCGTTACATTAATTATCGGGGGCGTCACCATTACCCAATCACATCATTATTCTGTGTTTAAAAAAAATGACCTATTGCATTCACTGAAGGAGATGGGAGGAGGAAACTGTGTCATGTGACCGTTCCCTAAAGACATTGGAAATGCATGATGGGGGATCCCCGGTTTGGACTCTGCGGGTCATACCTGTGGCTGTCAGAGTCTTGCAATGCCTCATGGGACTTGTAGTCCCACAACAGTCACATGTGGTTGTGTCCCCTCTCTGGGTATTTCGGTCTCTCTCTCTCTCTGTTGTTATTGATTGATATTCTTTCATATGGATGTATAGGAAGAGTTCCATCAATAATTAATAGAACTCTATTGATGAATGGCCGTGGAAGATGCTGACATCCAGCACAAAGCTTCACATCTGCGAGCCATTAGAAGGAATCCTCTCATTAATATTGTACAGCAGCAACGCGCCCCCCCCCCGCGGCACGGCGCTGGGGGCCCCTAATGCAGGCTGGGGGGGGCGCACTCCTCTGTCTACGGCTAGCCCTGGGGCCCATTCTATGCTATATGAAGATGCATTTCTTAGTGGAAGTATTTTGTACATTTAGGAACATTTACATGCTGCAGAGAAGGACTCGTGTTCTCTGTGGGGAAGCAGTGGTCTCTCTGCAGAGGTCAGACACACCCCCTTACTGGGTCAGAGATATGGGTTCTCCAATCAGCAGGGAGCATGAGCATTGCTGATTGTAGAGCTACAGTATAGATCTGACTCATCGAGGGGGGGGTCTAACCTCTGGAGAGAGACCACTGCTTCCTGCAGAGTCCTCTGCAGCATGCTGGCCGGGGACAGGCTTTTCTACTCTAACAGACTGGAAGACATTGAGCTCCATTTGTTTTGATTCAGATGATTTAAAGTGACAGTTCAGTTGGGCATCTGCTTATAGTCAAGGTGACAACACAGGAGCCCAATTGGGAGACAGGGACAGAAGGATCCCTCCTTACTTCCTGGCTGGAGGACGTCCAGCATCTTCTCACTCTTCTCTCCCCAACCTGACTGTCCCTGGCCCGCCCCTTTCATTCATTGGATTTCAGTTCTGTCAATCATGGAGGCTCAGCATCACACGTTGGCATTACCTAGGGTGGTCTGCGTTTAAATACATCTTGCTAGCAACGCCCCCTCCTCCAGACTGACATCCACCCATCAATGCATTTTGATATTTGCATAACTCCTCCCAAGAGCCAGCCCACTGCTTGCATCAGGGCTGAGGGCTCTTGAGAGTAGCACTGAGGCAGGGGGCTTTGCATTGCATAGAGTAGCACAGAGACCCCTAAAATGAGATATGTCATGAAAACGCAAAGGCTTTATTTAAAAAGTCATTAGCATATTGATGAGAGGGGGAGGGGAGGAACCAGGGAAGGCAGATTAAACGTCAGCTTTGTAGATGATATGAGATTGATGGGCTCACATAGACTTCATAAAGGGCCGCAGTCTCCCTCCAACATTCACCCCCTCCAATGTAAATGAGAGCAACCGCCCGAAAAGTCAGACCAGGTGGAATGATGGAGCAGTGGTTTGCCTTTTAATCCCTTTCCAGCAGAATGGGAGCTGTGTGGATCCGGCGGGGACACGGGCCGATGTGGGATCAGGCCTCATCCCTACTGCTAGGTGGATGACAGATGACCAGCTGGGAGGATCAGGATGAGGGAGCCGAGCAGAGCGGCAGTGAAATCAGAGCCGAGATGAAGGAGAATGAAGATCTCATAAGAGTATCAGGCTCCAATTAGACCAACATAGGCCCTAATGCCATCAGCACAGCCAACTACAACCCCCATGGGACACGGCTAGAGTGGTCACTGAGAGGAAAGAGAACCTGTCACCCAACGGGCTGGAGGCCACCATATTACAAGCATGACCTCAATATCAGCACCAAAACACAATGCGGCCCGCACCTGGGTGACACCAAAATGACTGACAGTCATTTTGGTGTCACCCCCTCTGAAAAGTCGAGCACAAGCCTGACAGCTTCATGAGAAAGAGGAGGGGACCCGGCGGCATACCTTATCCCACCAGGTGAACGTCCCCTCCTCTCTCTGCAGGCGCCCATCACCAAGATGGCCGTCGGCAGGTAGCAGCGCATGACATCATCATGTGCGACGACATCACGGCAGGGTGTCACCCAGTGGCTGCTCCGGGTGACACCATGCTTCGGGCCGTACCTGAGTGACATAGAGTCCTGCCAGACAGCAAAGCCAGCCTGGAGGACTGTTTTTTATGTAATACAGCCGAGTCTCCTCCCCGCCCCTAGCCTGTGATTGGACAATGAAGGAGAGCAGAAGATTGATGAGGTCATCTCTCTTCTTGTCAGCAGGTTCCTTGTCAGCATGTGCTGCATACCCAATTGGCCCCTAGTGCTGCTCTTCCCTCCCCTAGTGCTGACAAGAGGCTGATACCGAATCAC